GTGCTTGAGGACACTCCACTTTGGGACTCTGTCATTACTGGAAGACTTCAACACTCAGTGGACAATGACAGTGAGACCTGGAGGGGCGTGATTGGGAGGAACAGCCCGTCAGAGGCTCTGAACCCGAGCGGTGTTCTTTTACCGGACTTCTGTGCAAACCACAGTTTCTCCATAACATCATGTTTGGACATAGGGGCAAACATGATGTTTGGACCAAGTGCATGTGGCACCAGGACACCCTAGGCCGCTGGTTGATGATCGATTTTGTAATCATATCATCAGATTGAGTCCAAATGGACCATGTTCAGAACCTCCATTGCTGAAGCTGCTGCATTGAGCTGCGGCCACAAGGTAGTTGGTGTCTGTTGTGGTGACCTCTGAACCAGATGTTGAACACCAGAGGTGAAGGGAACCATCACTCTGAAGAAGGAGTCCTATCAGGCTTGGTTAGCCTGTGGGACTTTGGAGGCAGCAGATAGGTAACAACAGGCCAACCAGAACGCAGATCGGGCAGTAGCTAAGGCAGAACCTCGGGTGTGGGAGGAGTTTGGAGAGGCCACGGAAAAAGACTCTCTTGGCAAGCTATCATATCCTCTCTCTAGATCCACAAAGACGGTGCAACTCCATGTGACCTTCTCTATGCTTCTCTATCACTGAAAAAATAAAGTACACCTTTTGATTCTAAGTTTAAAAACTTGCTTCCACTCAACACTTTGTCTTCTACTGTGGTTTATCACAGGAGCGCCCCCATGTCGGGGACACCCTATTTGGGTTTTGTACAGCTTGAGCAGAGAGAGGAAGGTCTGTGTTCAGCTAAGACATATTTCACTTCTGCATTGTCATTTAAGTATCAGTGTGTTTTAATAACAGAATATTACGATTAATTTTCTTAACATCAGTCTTTTTGCATTGAGAGTTGTTTTTAGTCCCAGCTCTGTCACTGTTTTCTTGTGGAAACAAAGCGTGACGAGGTTGTGGTGCAACAGCACACGAGCCTGTAAGGATGGAGGGACGAATGAGGCTTGATTTGTAAAAGATTTTTTTATTCTTTATCTGGTAGTTCATCTGTTTGAACAGCAGGTGGCAGTGCTACATAAAATAATACATGAGATTCAAACACACAGCAGCTCATGTGCTCAATCTGCTTCTAAATGCATTACAGCTGAGGGCTGCTCCAGACCAACAAGTTTATCTGCAATAACACAGCATTACATATTAGTCAATTTCTATTTTAAAATCTGTAAAATAATAAGTAATTAAAGAATAAAAGTTTTTTTTTAAATCATTAAGTTTGAATTTGACCGAGATATTTTCCAACAGAACCTGAAGAGGATTTGCACCAGATTATTATCATATATTTACAACTGTAGTTCATAATATGTTAGACATTGCAGGAAAGCCATCATGCTAAGAAACTACATAAGGACAACAGAGGGCTTCAAGATCCATTGAAGACATGGAGAGAGCAGCCGTCAATGCCATTAGGCATAAAATCTGTAATATTAATAATAATAATAAAAAATAATAATGATGATGATGATGGAGACTACATCTGACAATAACATATACTTCAGTGCGATATGTTGCTTTGTAGCAATCCCATCAACTATTATTCAAATGAGTTGTTTTAGGTACAAAAAAAATTCTAGTTATGAACGCAATATTCAAACTTGCAACAGAGGCTTTTCATGGTGCAGTATGACTGTTGTATTCAAGAAAAAGACTCTGTCTTTGTTCCTGGGCGTTTGTAATGAACTGTCTCTGGCCTGCTGGACCATAGTTGGAGAAACATTGCTGCTGAAGAGTCCTAAAAGCGACCAGTGTCAGATCAGCTGTAAGCAGTGCCAGCTGCAGGAATAATCTCTGACCGCTTCAGTAGTCTTGGACATAAACGATAACAACATGGAATTGCGACTGTAATGGCTAAATGCACAGGGATTCAGGAGATGACGGTGTTTCGATTAGATCAGTGACATGTTAAATACGTAAAGATTAGCTTTGAAACTGGAAACGGTTTCTCTGTTTTGCAGTCACATGGAGGCAGGTGATTTTGAAGGGGTTTAGTTGGGATAAAATGTGTTTATGTGGTACGATGAATGTCAGATTCACGAGACTTCATCGTCAGAGGGCTTCTTATGGCACAGATTCCGTTAGTGTTAAAAAAACTTCTGACTTCTTTGTGAACATTAAAGGGAAATGGTAAATGGCCTGCATTTGTATAGCGCTTTCTAGTCCTTAAGGACCCCAAAGCGCTTTACACTACATTCAGTCATCCACCCATTCACACACACATTCACACACACACATTCACACACACATTCACACACACATTCACACACTGGCGATAGCAAGCTACATTGTAGCCACAGCTGCCCTGGGGCGCACTGACAGAGGAAAAATGACTCTTACACAAATGGAAACATGTCTAATGTTTCCGTGTCACACTTGTTCTACCTGTTGCTAGCTTTCTGTATCTCTGCCTTTCTCTCACTCTGTTCAAACACGTATGGCTTCTGACATCGAGTAGCTTTAAGCAGCCGGTGAATGCCTCTGTGGTGTGTGAGAATGTGCATCATGCACACGCGTGTGATGTTTGAGTATGTGTCGGTGAGAGGTTTTACACCGCTAATGGTTTCTTCAGAAACACGAGCTGGGTGTTTTATATAAATGTTATTTTTAGATGTAGATAAAAGGAAACTGCTGCTGAAATTGATTTGACACTTTCTGTAAAACCACTTCAGCTGTTTAGGTTGTCTGAGATAAGTGTGAGCATATATAATGATATGGACAGTGTGGCTTCACACACCACATTACTCATTCACTTTCTCTCACCATCATCAATCTGTATCTACTTGGACATTTGCATTCCTTGAAACCTTCAAATGAAAAACTGGGAAGAAATATTGATCTTTCATTGAAATGATCAAACACATTATACATATTAGTAGCTGAGCTTTGAATTTGTAACGAGTAGTTTTAAGTAATGAGCCATTTAAGTGACATTCAAAAAGAAGAAATGCTAAAAAAGAAACTTACAAAAAAACAATGCTAGCTCAGATTTCTGCAGTGTTTGGATTTCTTTGATTTTAAAGATAAATCACATGAAAATAAATGAAATATCTTTTAGTGTTTTTCTTTTCGTTTTACTAAAAGAAGCAAATGTCTATAAATACATCACCATAAAATGGTTAATAAGCCAAGACATTACACCAACCTACAGTATGTATGCCTTTCCGTACGACACGGAATGAGAAGCCTGCTTTATACAGCAGGGTCAAAAACAGTCCTGCCAGTACTTACTAAATATTTATACAAGTCCATTTCATCTAAATCAAAAGCTAGGTGATTCTTTCTGCTTTTCATTGCCAGCAGAGATGACTCCTCGGCTGGGTTACGCTCTCATATAAACAAACAGGGCTTTCAACTCTCTGTCCTCAGCATCTCGACTTGGCCTCGGTCCTAGAAAACCCCACTTGGCTCCGTGGTTTCTGTCAGAAAGTGGTGACTAACACACTGACTGGCTGTGTGACAGACACCTACCTCAACACATTCTTTAATTCTTGCTCCCATTAATAAAGGCGCTTTTATTAGTTCAGTAATTAGCCTTGGAGAGCATTCCCAGACTATAAAGGAAAGGTTGTTTTTCATAGTAGTAATGGTAAAGTGTTAATAGGCCTAAAACTATACCCTGCCATGCAAACCATTAGGCCATAAATGCTTTCTCTTACTTCACTGCAGCACCTCTCCTCATGTCAGATGGATCCAGTTTGAGGTTTTTTTAAATGTAATTTTCAGTTTTGTTTTTTAGGACGAGGATGATGATTATATGAAAAGATGTTAATGAAAAGGGAGAAAAGTGATGATAAAGGTATATCAGTGAAACGGGAGAGACCAGGAATTTATTCAGATAATTAAACTCTGCCTTTACCACCTGTGCTACTTTGTCACCTAATCCACCCGCCTCTCTCCTCACCAGCACTTGTCCACTAAGCATTTGACAGATCGTCTATATGTCCTTATCGCCTTCTTAGTCTTAGTTTTGGACTTTTGGACTTTCATTCTGCTCCTTTTGCTTTGTTTGCATGCCTGATATTTGCAACCATGTAACAGAACATTAAAGTAAACTTTGGCCTGTTTATTATGTTTCTGCCCTCATAACAAGGCAGTACTATCAGAGCACTGATGACAACAGCAAGATTATCCTGGTGTTCTTGTTTCTTGTTTTTGCTTCACAGCAGAATAAAAGTGGTCGTCAAAAAGACTCTAACAACAGTGGTGATGATGATGATGGTGATGATGAAAATAAAGATCATTATGTTGGAAGTGAAGCTGATAAAATTAAGCACAACCATGAGTGAAGCAACAACAATAATGACGATAACTCCGCACCTGAACCTACAAACACGTGCAAGAATATTAAAAAGGGATAAAAATGATTAAATATACTTATGTGCATATCTAATGTTTTAAAGCAATAAACGTTTCAATGATAATAAAAATGTAATTAAACTGATTGGATGCTTGCTTGGATTAGAATTAACGTGTTTCAGTGTGATGAGAGTGATGCACAATATCAAGCTGAATACTAAGTGGAATCAACCACTTTCTTCTTCTTCTTCTTGTCGTCATAATTTTAACTTTCCAGGAGAAACACGTTAAAAAAGACCCCGCTCTGGTCTCTCCACAGTGCTGGCCTGAAGTAAACCTGACCACTGACGCCTACAGCACTAACAGCTGGTGCGTGTGATGACGCTGAGGGTTGCTGGTCAATTTTATGAAAACAAATGATGCAAAAACTGTAAAATTAAATAGAAAAAATCGTAATGAAAGTGAAGAAGCGCGCATGCCAGTGGCCTGATCATCGGAAGAAGCAGCGGCGATAGTAATTATTGACGCTTGTGCACGACGTTGCCGAGGATGATGACGGTATTTAGGATAATGAGGATGAAGAACGTTATAACTCCACGTGGCCGCACTTGTACCGGTGGTGGGAGTGTCCGCGGAGGCGCTCCACTCCCTACTCGCGCGCAGGCACGAGCGGCGCTCGGATGTTTTCATTCTGAATTTATAAGTCAGAGAGAGGAGGACGCCTTCGAAACAAGAGGAAACGAGAGGGAAAAACCTTTTTGTTGTTGTTGTGTATGTTTTTGTATTAGCTTCCGGTGTAATGTCAGTTCGTCGGGCCGGTTTGGTGCTGCTTTGCGCGATGTTGGCGGTGACTTGTGCTCGCAGGAGTTCGCCGGAGCAGGAGGATGTTCAGGAGAAAACGAACAGCGCCAGATGCACATCCAGGTGCCTCACTCTGCACATGACCCAGCTAACCGCTGCTTTCAGACACCTCCAGGTACGGACGAGCATTTTGCCCCAAATCCTTTGTTTTAGTGTGTTTTTCACCTGAGGGTCACCTTCCGCACGAGCCTACAAAACGCACGAGAAACCGTTGAATTAAACAGAGAAACATTTAATCCGGTCGGCTTGATGTGAAAACCCAGTCCAGTTGGTCTAATATGAGATAACGTACAAAAGTAAAATTATTTATGTACTAAGTTGAATGTTTACAATTACTGCTTGTTTTTTTGTTTTTTTGTTTGTTTGTTTGTTTGTTTGTTTTGGAGAGGGTCGGGGGTCCACCGCAGCGCTACCAGTCTTAATCAATATCGAGGTTTTGTTTGTGGTCACTTTACAATAACACAGTTTTATTATTTTGTCAAATATGTCACTTTATATATTCAAATAAGCTCAGTCTAAACATTTTTCATTGGAACATATTGAACCAGGGCGGTCCGTGCATTTGTTAATTATGCCTAAAAGAAGAAGGTGTGAACTTAAAAATGTAAAATTACAACATGGACAGAATGATTTTTGCAGGTGATTTCCAGATGTAGTCTTAGCCACAAGTACTAATTCCACTCAGTGTGTCAGTTAGGACAGATCGTGATATTTGACTGTCTTGCTGTAGAAAATACACTATGCAGCCATTTCAAACGTGCACTTTACAAGTTGTTAATAAATGTTGCCCTCCTGTCTTTTTCCCTCAGTGCTGTGTTGTTACAATGATTTTTGGATAAGCTAGGCCAAAAGAGAAAGGTGCAGTGCAGAGTAAAGCAGCTGAGTGCTGCACTATTAAGCAAAAACAACAACAACCTTGTGATCTACACTTGAACTGTTGTTCTCCACGTGGTTTTCATCAGGAAGTTCTGACCAAATGATGTTGATGTTGCTCAGATTGAAGTCGGCCCGTGTCAATACTCTAGTGGGGCAAAGGTAGGCCGAAAAAAACTTTGGTTATTGGTTTTTAATAGTTCACAAAATGGCTCATCTTGCAGGGATTGCTGTGCTGTGTACTGGGGCCTTTGTAGTGAGGAATGCGAGATTAACAGGGACATTAGGACGTTACCAAGTTCGAAAAGCCACTTATCGTTAACGGCTTCAACATGTGCATGCTGTGTAGTGGGTGGGAAAGTCATTAACCACAGAGTTCAGCCCCAATGGCTCTGAGGTGTGCAGACAAAAGTGTGTATGTGTGTGTGTGTGTGTGTGTGTGTGGGGGGGGGGGGGGGGGGGGGGTTGCATATGCTCACATATAAAACCGAGGTTTGGTCTGGTCCTTGTCCATCCAGAAAAGACCCTCGCCACCTGTGCATTGAGTAATGAGGGTGGCCTCTGGATGACTTTACCGTTTAGATGTTTGCATTTGTGTGTGTGTGTGTGTGTGTGTGTGTGTGTGTGGGTGTTCTAGAACAGAGGTGTGAGAAAGGGAACATTTGGTTTAAACTTTATGAACCAGTGTGCAAGAATCAAATGTGCAAATTCAGTGATTCAAATGAAACCAGGTGATTTTTCAGCACCAGCTTCTGAGTCGGGTGTTTGTGTCTTTTGCTTTGGTTTTATTACTTTCCCTAGTTTCATGAATTGTGTCAGGTTGTTTCTGATTTCTGTTCAGTTCATTTTTTCTGATATTATTGAAGCCTAGTTGTGCTGGTGCTCCAAGCTGTTTATATTTGATCCATTGTGTTTTGTAGCTTTGCAGTTTTGTGGAATTCTGTTTAACTTTGATGTTGGATTTATTGTTTTTTGGACTTTCATCCCCTCAATAAATCACTCGCCTTTTATTCATTGATGTCTGACTCTTAGCATTTTGCATTTGGGTCCTCACGTCTTAATAATTGCAACATATCACAAAACAGCATAACATAGACCTGGTAGACATATTCCTCCCTGAATTTGAGGATTTCCAGTCTTTTCTCCTTATTCTACCAGTACAATGGTTGCTAGCTTGCTGCAAAGAGAAGAAAAGGGTTTTCTGAGGGTGTAGGTCTCAGTCTGTGGGTTCCAGGCGTCTCCTCTGCCCTTCAAAAAGCTTTCATACCTGTCACTGGCTCCCTCACTGTTATTGGCCTCAAGGTTAGCCACCAAGCTCTTGGGGTGGGGGGGTGGAGGGGGGGGCTCTTTGTCTCCTTTGTTACCAGCTGTCTGCCCAGCCTAGTTGTTGTCAGGCTCCTGCTCGGCCACCTGAATGGTTCTGGCTCTTGGAATCATTTTGTTCGGCTGCACAAAATTTGGTTCTTATAACTGATTAAAATAAAAATCTTTGGCTTTTTAAAATCATTTAAGGATGTTAGCTTGAGCTGTAGAAGACTTTGGTGTATACCAAAAGTATTAACCAGTTAGTTAAAATAATAATAATAAAGATTGTTGTTTAGGGCTGCCACGATTAGTCGACTATTAAAATCGTCGACGACTGATTTAATAGTCGACGCGTCGTTTGAAGCTTTGTAAGATCCCAAAAGACGCAGGAATAAGTAGCAGGATTTAAGAGTGTAATAACGGACTGAAACAGAAGATGGCAGCACTGCATGTACAAGGATGCCAGCTGCCGTTAAACCCCGAAGAAGAAGAAGCTGTGTCCCAGAATTCATAGCGCGGCCCAGCTCAGTTTCCAACAATGGCGGCAGCTAGTTAGTTTTAATATTACTCTTATTATTCTTTCTGGGTCACAAAATAAACGTTTAACATATTTTCAGGCGAGAATGTAGCTGTGTAAACCTCAAATATCTGCTCAGTTTATCAAGACACCGCATATTTTCAAAAGCGCTCCGACGTTTTCGGAGACGTCTGTTACCCACTAGCTTGATAGCTAGCCGGGGGCTAGGCTAACTAGAGCCGTGAGAACACCGGACTCCCGGCAAATCGTCTTCAAACCCACCACCGTCTTTCGCTACTCAGGTTAAACATGATATATGAGTCACTTAGATAACTTAAAATGTTATTGTTTGGCTTTTTTCAGTGTTTTATTTGTTCCTGAGTAAATCGGTTTGGCTGAGATTAAAGTTTTTACACAGCTGAATAAACGTCAAGCAGACAGCTGATTATCAGAAGTGTGAGATGCTCCAGAATATACTCCGGTGTCCTGTTATATTTTAGATAGCAAGGAGTTTATTAAACTTCACCGAAACAATCTGCAGATTTCATTAAAATTTAATAAACTATCATCTTGTCTTTATTTTTAGTTAGCACAGACCTTAAACACTTAAAGCTGTAAGCTAATGATAGTTATATAAGAGCAGATGCTGCTGGTGCAATAAGCTGTACGTTTTACGTCCAGTGGATGATGATCTGATTAGTCGACTAATCGCAAAAATAATCAGTGACTATTCGACTATCAAAATAATCGTTTGTGGCAGCCCTATTGTTGTTGTTCGTTTCTGTTTCTAACATCTTTACAGTGAGGATTGACATTTTTTTCTATTTTGACACATTTTGTAGAGTCTGTTTGTTTAAAAATAAATGTGAGATTAATCAATAGTGCACTGATTTTATTGATTGATTCTTGATTTATTTATACACCAACATCAACTGGCTGTTATCTCCACATCCACCTTGCTAACTGAGCTTGCTAGCATCAACTTATAATTTACCACGTTATACATTCGTCTAAATGCGGTCATCTCTGGCTCCAAAAAACCCAGATGACACAAACTACATCCATCTTTTATATACAGACTGTGATTAGAAGAAATCGGAGAGGAAAAGGACACAGAGCCTCAGAGGTTTTAAAAAGAGTCTGTGTGTTTAAACCAAAATAAAAAGCACATCAAAATTCTGAGGAAACAAGGAAACAAATTTTCTTCTCAGCCACATCCTGGAGAGTTGCATCACTCCTCGAAACTATTATAGGACAGCTTAGAGAGCACACGGATTGATTGATGGGTAGGAGTATGTTAGAGCATTCATTCCCTCTAGAAAAAAGAAAAAAGCCTTTAGATAACAGTTCCAGCAACTACGACATCAGTAAAGACAAACCGAGCTTTACTCATCCTCCTCAGTCACCATACTCAGACACAAACACACACATTGCTTCCTCTGGCTTCATGTGGGTGAACTTTGTGTTTTTGGCTCTTTCTCAGTGTGTGTGTGTGTGTGGCTAGTGTGTAGCCACTAGAATTTGAGTCACCAGTTTTCTATTTACACCTCTCTTTATGCTGCGTCTCTGGGTTTTCCACTACTTTCCCTTGTATGGCGTAATAGTGTAATTATAGCTCTTTTGTGTGTGAGAGAGCACACTTAAATATATATATATAAACATGTTGGTATGTTGTCATATTCCCAGATTCCTCCTTGATGTAAGCTCCTAAAATAAGCGAAAAACTCCCGTCTTGCCCGAAGAGGTGAATTATTTTACACATACGTAGTAGCTCAGATTAGCCCGTGTTCTTAGACGCTCACATGCTGTGGCGCTGATGCGTCGAGCCAGGGATAAGGGCCGGCGGTAGGTTAAACGAGCTCCCTGTGCATCCTTGTCTAAGTGTGCGCATGCGTGCATTTGTCTGTCCCGACTACGCTGCGGTAGGTAACTCTAATCGGCCCAAAGGTCGGTCAGCCAACCAGTCACACTCTGAAAAAGACCAGAGACAACGGTCAGGTCAGGTTGCACGGAGACAGACGAGGAGATAAGGGCAGGTGGGCAGACTCGGTCAAGCGTGAAGATGGGCAGAGGGATGGAAAGACAGGAGAGCAGGCAAGCAGGTGTGACAGGCGCAGGTGAAGACAGACAACTCGGTGAACTGATACGTAGGCTATAGAAGTAGACTGACATGCAGCGAGACAGGCATCCGGGTGAGCGACGGCAGGAAACAAAGGCTTGTTTGATTCGCCTCAAAGATAAAGCCAGTGCAGCTTTGTGACTGCCCTGTCATTTGATCAGTGCATAGATGGTGATAAAGTTGTGGCAGTGTAAGAGCGACTCTCACCTGAAACCAGGACAAGAAATTCCAAAACAGTAAATCACAGCTGGAATGGCAAGGCTCTGAGGGCATGGCTTTGTTGCAGCTTTAGAAAGAAAGA